TACCGGTTTTCAAAGAAAGGACTAGGAACAACTGCAATACAGAACTACACAACATATTGTTTATTTCCTAACCCATTCCAGGTAATAAAAATATTTATGTATTGATCCTCACAAACGCTTGGAAATGCTAATACTTTAATATATATTTACTAACTTTTAAATCTGAGTTCCAAAATCACTTTGAACCAACATTTATGTGTTCTGACTGGGGTTTTCGAAGCTGCCACATACATATAGGCAGCTCAGAATGATTTTCACAAGGATCTGACCACCTAGAACCCTCCAGCTTTTCTGAAAGTTCTAATAAATACACCAGTAGCTTCACACTCCTTCCACTCTCATTAAATGGCTATTTAGGCGTGGTATTACACATCACCTGCTTCTTTTCCCCTTTCATTATATTCTGGTTGTTGGGGTTTTGTGTTTAGGGGTTTTTTCGGTGTGTATGTAATTTTATTATTGTTATTATTTATTGCTTTTATTTTGACTGTGTCCCATTTTTACTTGTCCTCTTTCTAAATGAAAGGTCTGAAAGTTCTGCAAACCTCCTCCTGCCAAATGTGTTTTAATGTAAAAAACCATGCTATGTCTTTGAGATTAAGAGTTGAGCATTATATTATGATCCTCATTCTTCTCTCTGTTTTGTCACTCACTAAGTGGGAGAGGACTGGGCCACAAAATTACAGCTCCAGCAATAGATCCAGGAGCTAGGATCTTTTACCTTCACCATCAAAGACTATGTGCCGACCATCTATTTCAGTCCAATTTGTCAATGGCATCAACTGCTGCTTTTATCGGTAACAATATTTTTTCTGGTGTTCAAATATAAGAGCTTTCCCCATGAAAACAATGTCAATAAAGTATCATATGAAGTTAATTTCAACACACAGGTTAAAGAAAACCCTCACTTTCAGCAAAAGTGGTTAGTGCCTCTCCCACCCTTTGTTTTTTAAGGGCTTTAAACATTAACGTTGCTTAATAAAGAGAACACTAAATATAAACACAAAGCCACACAACATGCATGAAAAAGAAGGGTTAAAATGCAACTGTATTTCACAGACACAAGTCACAGCCATTAAATTAAATTATTACACATACATTATAACTTATTTATTATTTCAAGCTATACAGGCAACATAGCACCAAACAGGAGAAATTTCCTCTCAATGAACATTACACAAATATTTTGGTTTTGAATTTTGGAAACAAGTTCTTACTTTCATTTTTATCAGAATGTCCTTAAATAAAATTCACTATCCCAAGTCTGTTTTATGATATTATTTGGGCAGTGACATCTGCTACCAGTTATCTCTGATAAGACCCCCCTCCCACTTCCAAAGTTTAAAAAAATGAATAGCAGATGCTAAACATCAAGATTTCAGGCAGTAGGATATTAATTTAATATGCTGTATTGGCAACGAGGTATTTTGGAGTTCAACATTAGGCAGCAGCAGAAGTAGAGGTAAAAAACTGAAGGTGGTTTTGAAAACCAAGTTCACTGATTCTGAATTCCCTTTTAATATAAAAGATTATTTTTAAAGGTATAAATACTTTTTACACATTAGAAAAAGTGAATGAAGGCACTTATCATACATAGCAAGAATTTTTGCATTAAAATGAAAACAAATAAATATTTTACTTTTGCAAGTTTGGCCTGCTTCTGCTCCTGGAGAAGTCAGTGGGATGCCTGGCAGTAACAACACTGGAAGGGAACTGGGACTATTTCTAAAAAATAGATTCATATACATTAATAGTAGATTTCTTCCACTACAGCAAAGACAGAATTACATCTAAATTATTCTGGAGTAAGTAGGTAGAAAACTAGAAGCACTAGAAAGACAGTCACTCTGAAGAATATTGCATGTCTGTAGGGCAGTGAGAAATGGCAGTAACAAAATTCTGAGACTTCAGGGTAACTTTGAAAATAATCCATTATTTTTGTGCCTATTTTCTCTGACATCACAAGTAACACTTATTAATTACAGACAAATCCTAAGAGTGAGGAAAAGAAAAATAATTAAAATCTTTATTTTATAAACATTTCAGACAAACAAAATATAATTATCTTCTGTAAAGAGTTATCTATTCTTTCTAAAGAAACAAGAAAGGATGAAAACCAAACATATTTCAAGTTGAAACAGATTGGGTCAAAATTTTCATGATAAAATAACTACCAACACTCATACAAGAATTGATTGTCTAAATGAAATGCAAAACTTTCAAGGTAACATCAACTGCTACCACCAACTGCCTAAGTGGAAACCTTTCTGTTTGGTGCCTGGATCTTCAAGGTTTTTTGCAGGCACTGAAAAAGTACAGGGGTCCAAAAATAAAATCAAACTCCTAAATTTATCAAAACTATTGCTGTCCAAAAATGCGAATAAACTTTCCTCACTGTGCAAAGCCTGAAGGTATTGTCTTCTCATATATGAATAGCTTATTCTATGCCTCAAGTGTAATTCCTGCCCAAGCTTCCTAATATCTTTAGAAAATATACAAAAATTAAAGGTACAGACCTTTGGAATTTAGGTTTACTTGCCTCACATCCATTTGGACAACTGTAGAAGCCAGGAACAGAGCAGTACACAGCCTTTAAACTTTGTGAAGGTCAGCTCCAATAGCCACTGACAGACACTATAAAGTGTCACAGCTGCTAAACTGGAGAAAGCATCAACCCAAATTCTGGCTTCAAATCATAAACTAAACCTTCTTTGCAAGGGCACTTTTTTGCATTTACAAGATATGTTTTATGTAAATTATGTGTAGAATTATTCAGTAACTATAATAATAAAACAAATATACTTAGAAGGCATACTACTAGAAGTCCTCTGTTCTGAAATATATAGCAATAGCTAGTGGAAGAAGTTAGAATCATGGAATTGTGGAGGTTGGAAAAGACTTCCAAGATCATCTAGTCTTGCATCACAGTTTCTGCTTATGTTTTAACACTGGAATCCCACTAGTAGACACAAAAGCTCGATGCATTGCTCACCTGGCACAGAAATATTACTCAATACTTCCATGAAAAATATAAATAGTTTTTTGTCTGGTTCTTGCAATCTTATAGAGAATGGAGTAAATGTTGATATGACAGGCTTGAGACTTCAGCAGCCAGAGAGCATCTAGCAATTAACAGTTCACTGTATTAGAGCATATTGTATGCCAGAAATGTGTAAGATAAGCAGGGCCATGATTTATTGCCAAATTAACATATCACTGGTCAACCATGGCTAAACAAAGCTCTTTGTACTAGGCTACAACAGCATTCCTGTGACTAAAGCTTTTACTGCTCCTTCCTAATAGTCATCCTTAATGAATAAATTTTGCTCTGCTTAAACAGCAACAAAAAACAACTAAGTGTCTGTGCTGGCAGCATTCAAATTAGCTAAATTATTAAAATATGACAGCATATTCAATATGTGAGCCTGCTTTTATTTCCTGAATCTGCTACGTTTGTTTCTGCAGCATGAGATAGTGTGATGAAGTTAAACCTTTTATGGCTTAACTATAGAGCTTGCAATCATATATAAAAGAGGCCTCTCTCTCTGATATATAGAATTCATTCTAAACTTAGTTTTTGAAGGATTAAAATGGCTTTTCATGTCACTTGAGAAATAAACCAATGTGAAAATCTTTATAAAAACAAGCCATAGGCAACATTTACAATACAAGATCTTACAGGTAATCTATTAATGTAGGGCAAACCGAATTACTCAGGGAATGAACAGGTTGTGAATTATTCTTGATCTAAAAGAAAATAAACATTGAGTTCAAAGGCAATTGTGTGCTGAATTCTGCTTGTCTTCTCAGCACCTGATGAATATTAATTAGCGACTCACCACTAATTATTTGGAAAATGGTTAAATAAGATACTCTGGTGTCTGCTAAACACAAGCCCTAAACTCTGCTTTGCATAGTGGAAGAAAGAGATAACATTAAATCAAACTTACATTTTGCAGTCTCTTTGCAATAAATTAGAATAGCGTATATAAACATTAGCAATTGCTATAGTTGAAATCAGACAATTTTTTTAAATGCTGCCGTATTAATTCAAAGAGACAAATTACATAATTTGATTAATAAAAAAACCCCAAGTAAGTGTTGTCCCAGACCATCTCCCAGGGATGTCAATGACAGATTTTTTGCTGATTTTGATGGAACCAGATCTGGATCCAACCTCCTTTTATTGCCATTATTCCCCTTAGAATTTAGCACAATAATTAATATTGTTGTCAAATTCACAGCTTGGGAATTATAATATACTCTATATTGCAGAGCTTGCTGTGGTTACTTCAGTATGTTAAAATCTGCTAGTAGCAATTTTAAAGATTAATGGTGATTACAGTAGGCATTTTTACACATTAAGAGACAGTGACATGTAGACATTAACATATTGTAGTTACATAGATAATTATACATAGATAACTTCAATTAGTCCCTGTTCTAAAACCACTAATATAAACTTTTATACACAAATGTACAAGTAATATGAAGTAAAATGTTTTATGACAGAGTATAATATACATGGATGTGAGTTATTTTATACTTAAATATACTATAGGAAAATAGTTATGCACTAAAATATTTAGGGTTTTTGCAAATATAAATACATAGATAATACTACAGCATAATTTATAGCATGAAATTTTAACTTTAAATTTAATTTTAATTTTAAATTTAAATTTAAATCAAATTGTAACCCTTTCAAATGGAACCTATCAGATACTGTTTGCAGTTATGATGACTTCTGGTAATTTTGAAAATATTCCCTCTGATAATTTACAGAGCATGATACTGCTCCCACTGAAGGAAACGGCTGCTTCTCATTTAATTCTATGACTGCAGGAACAATTTATTTATAAAACTACATAGATTACTACATGCATTATTATTTCACTGTTATCAAATAAAATAATGACATAAAATCTTTTAAAAGACAAGGGGAAATAGAGGGACAGAAAGAACAAGAAAGCAAAAAATATTATTGAATGCTATCGTACCGATTTCCATGGTCCCCGATGCCAAGAAACATCACCAGGGCAAGAATGCACATTACACTGTGCCATGTTAGGTGGCTTGTCTAAAATTTCACAGTTTTGATCACCCAACATTTGGCCAGTGGGAAGCTGACAAATCACCAGTCTTGTCTTTATTCCATCTCCACAAGTCTGAGTACACTGAAACAGTAATACAGTAATATTATTAACATTAACATTATTAACATTATATTAATTATTAACATATTAACATTATATACAATAATTTTATTAACAGAGTCATCACATACCATCAAATCAAAAGATGTAGCAATAATGAGTACATCATATTATTTACCATGTCTATTTCCATATTTCCTGGACACTCTATTTAAGAATAAGAACTTAAAGTCTCATGTAATTCTCTCACCAAAGCCTTTACCAAACTACATTTTTATCCTTTATCAAGTGATTTTCCGCCAAGAGTCGCAGTTAGAGACATTCCATTAAGAATGTAATCGTGAGAATAAATGTGCATGTATCTCTTTCTTTAGTAAGAGTAAAAGATGGAAATTTCTCTTAAATTAGTTTTCCCTGTCAGACAGTGGCAGAGAACTCACCAAACACACTTTTACACAGTCCAATTTATACAGACTAAGCGTAAAATACTTATAGAATATGTTTTCTGGGTTTCAGTTTGCATGTAATTCCAGTTCTCATTCCCAATGAGCTCTTAAAACCAGTCTATAATAGTTCCAACCTTTTTATTGTATTCTCAATGATTCTAAATTAGAAAAAAATGCATCATCTGCATATGCATCCCAAGTCTATGGCTATGGACAGAAAAAATACAACATTTAGACTGACCTTGAGAACTGAATGGCTAAATCTGCCAAAACAAGGAGAAAAAAGATAGAAATAAAAAAGTCACTCAACCAATTTTTCTTCTTTTTTCAATTCCAGTAACTGATTTTCAAAAGTAATAAAAGTGGGCAAGAATCACAAGAGGTTAGATTAGAATAAATGCAAAAATAATCAGCTTTAACTTCTTCTGCAGCATTTGAGCAGGAATGTGTGGTCAGGATATGACACCACACAGCATGGAGAAACTATTCTTTTTCCAATAATATAAGATGTGTCATCAAAATGTTCTAACCTAGGCACAACTTTTATATGCAGGATCCTCTCTCCATACTTCTAATTTGTAACTATAACCCAGTAGCTACTACTACTTGGAGTAACTATTGTTAGTACCTATGAAATCACATGGAATAAAATTTCTCTACGTTTTCTTATGCTAATTTTTTTTTCTTAGGCTAGTTATTGCATTGTGGTTTTTCTGCATAAAATTCAGCTCTTTGCAACAGAATATAATTTTCTGTGTCTCAAGATACATGTTGTACAACAACTAGATGATTTTTTGATGTTGCATATCCTTAGCCTCACACAATAATTACTTCTTTTGTATGTATATTTACATTACTCATATTTCCACTACAATTCTGGATTTGATCAAAGAATAAAGTGTAGATAAACAGGCTGAAACTCTTTTTTTTTTAAATTTTAAACTCTATTAAATGGTAAAAACAAGGTGTTCAGTTCCACTCACAGTCACATAATTATGTTTCTACTTCTAAGCTTATGTGGAAAACAATATTCCCCTTTGTAAGTGAATGCTCTTACTTCTCCCCAGTTCCCAAAGTTCCACTGTGGGCAGGGTCCAGAATCACAGTGTCTTGACTCTGAAGGTTTTGTTGCCTCATCACAGTTACTGGAACTTCTTCCTTCTTCATCTTGACATACTACAACTCGATGGTGAAATCCACCTGCACAAGTACTAGAGCACTACCAAAACAGGTAAACATATATTTTGCCATTGCACAGTCAAAGAAATGTAAAATATGTGGATTAAAACAGCTTTGTTTTAAACCTTAACTTTCAAAACTGAAATTTTAAAATAAAAAATACTAGTATGTAGAACTATTTTAAATTTGAAATCACAGAAAAATTACACTTAGAATTTAATATATTCTGAATAACAATAAGAACAAGAATAACAATGCTTTTTAAAATTAACGTGCTTCTCTTTTGGCCAAATCTGTACTGCAATAACATTTTTAGAAATGTTAACACACATGTGGCAGAACAAATTAATATATTCTAAAAAAATTTCTTACTGCTCCCCATGGTCCAGTTCTCCATTGATATCCTCCCACAGAAGGATGGTTCCACTGGTTTAAATTGTCTTGTGGAGGGTGTATTGGGAGGTAACCTATTTCTGGAGAATGGCTTGGATGGTCATGTGTTTTCGGAACATGATGATAAACTGGTGGACATGGTGGCATGTTACATTCCTGTTCATTAGGAGGTCGGCTTTCAGGATCACAGTAATTCTCATTGATTTGCTGATGATAGTTGACACAGATGACTTGTCTTGTTACTATTCCACTGTCACACGTAACTGTGCACTGACCAAAAGATTAACAGTGTTTTCACAGAATACTGATAATTAATAAACAAATACATTATATTTACTTTTGACAAGAACAAGCATGTACTTTGTTTTCTCAAGGGATGCAATTTCAATCACACTTGCCAAATAAATGAACTCTCAATTTCTAAACACAGACTTGGCCAATAATCTAAATACACACATTAAAAAAATGTTACAATTAATACTTACAGGGGACCAATTTCCAACTTTCCATGATCCACATGGGCTAAAGCAGCTTGAAATTTCAGCTGGTCGTGGTAAATGAGCACACAAAGATTCATCTGCTATTCCTCCATGAGCATCTCTACAACTCACATAGCGAGCACGATCGCCCTTCCCACAGGATGCAGAGCACTGTCAGTGAACAATTCGAGGTCATCACATTTTAGGAGACTAAAACAAGATTATGCAAGCATCTAAAATACTAACATAGTTTTTGTTGGCTTGGAACTGAATTGCATGGCCCTAATCTTCATGAAGATTTCAGTATATGTGAAGAGATAGCATTTAAACTGTAACATGGAATAATTACACATTTACAAGTAACAACAGAAACATCAGTAACTTCCAGGACTTTAGTTGCTATGCAGGGATACAATATTTACATCACCTGCTAAAATAAAAACAGATTTTAACAGTCTGTTTGCCATTATACTTTGTATTAGCAGATTCCATTGAGCTCCTTCTGATGCATTTGTAGCTGAGAAGTTCAAGGTGGACTTAATGAAGAACTGCTGAGCAGCCTCAGTTTATGCACCCTTTACTGCTATTTAATTAAAATTACATGCTTCGTTAAATATTTCAAGGGATTAACAGACACATTCACATTTTATAGATAATTTTAAATTTTCACATTGCTATCAAGTAAAACTAGTTTTCAACATTATCAAAATTAAAACTTTGCATTGAAGAAAACTTATGTAGGAACCGTTTTACTAATGTTTATTTTACAAAAAAAAGGTCAAATTAGACCATTAAAGACGCCAATTGTTTAGTATTACTATTCACATAAAAGATTTAAATAACACTTTAAAATCAAATATGTTGTCCATACTTAGAAAAATCAATTACATTTTAAAAAATACTTCCTGGTGCACTGTCAATGATATTTCAGTCGGAACTCCAGCTCCTAGAATTCTGCTCTTTTTCCTATTATTTTTCCTGGTTGAATATGAAGCACACAGTTTGTTGGGAATGTCTATCTGCTCCTTAAGAAAGTTTCTTTTCTTAAGAAAATATTAGAACTCCTTTTTAATCTATCCTAAGCAGATTTCAGTCTGAAAAATATATTAATGAAAGCTTCATGGAAAAATGGGTGAATGAGTGGCAGACTGCTCTGCAAGGTGTGAGTGCTACATTACATACTGGGGTCCATGATCCATATCTCCATTGGGTCACCTTCCCCACATGAACTAGAGGAAGTGAAGTAGTCCATAATTTTGTATTTTCTGGACAAGAGGGCAATTCACACTCCTGTGGGGGTGAGGAATAAAGAAGCTTTTTAAATATACATTTTGAAAGAGCCAAATGTAAAGCAACTGCTTAGCATTAATTAACACATAAATATCATCTTTTACAATTTCCCTGGAATTATTCAAAGATATTTCACTGAATTGCTTTGTTTTGCTTTAAATCAAGTGTCAAAGAAAATGTATTTGATCTTAAAACTGCATTAGTAATAACTAATAATATTGGTACTTTGAGAAAGAACAGTTTTGGCCAACTTGTTGGAGAGGAGCGTAGACATTACAGTGTCCTGCTTCACAGGCAGCACAGAAGGACCAAGCAAAGCCAGTGGCTGTGCTGTCCTGTCCTTTATACCTTCAGCTACTGAGAATATAAATTTGCCCAGTTTCAGTCAGTAGCCAAACAGGTATCACAATTGAAAATGCAAAGTATACTCAAACTCAGTGTTTGCATATCTAAGCGGAAATAAACTATACCAACTGGCTTTTATATTTAGAAGTTTGTTAAAGAAGCCAGTTGGGTAATATTTATTATGCAGGACGGCAATCAGTGTCCTTACAACATCCTACATGTTGGAGCTTCCCCCACTGCCAAATAATCACAGGCCTTTGGATTCCTTGAAGTCTTATACTCTAATCTTTCAATCAGATAACAACTTTCAACCATCCAGTCTTAAAATTACCCTTCTTTTACTTAATTCTCTAGGCAAAATCTGACATTTGTGAAGAAAAGCATCATATTTCAGTACTTCTTTCCCATTTTAGAAGTGATTTCCTCCAAGTTCCCACATGGAGTCAGTAGAAAAGAGTTGTATTTAGACACTTTTGAAAGAGAAGCGTAGAGGTATTTGTAACTTACCTGACTGTCTCTCGGACGAGTGGCAGCATTGCACTCCCTGTCATCGTTCAGGATAACTCGGTACGTCCCAGTAACGCATTTGACTGTGCGCACCTGGTACCCGTGTCCACATGTTACAGCACACTGTTGAAGGCAGCAGTGTCGTACACTTGAAACAGCGCTATTTACAATCAATTATCATTTTTAATTACATTTCCTACTTTAAAAGTCTTTCCAAAATGAGTAGGAATGACTACTGAGATGGTGTTAACTTCCTTTGTGGCAGACCATTAGATACTTAACCAGTGTCCATAGCACACCAATGAACAGCGCTTGTGCAGGACAAAGGCTTTCTCTCTTTCCCCTTTTTTATCCCCTGCAGTGAGTAGGCTGGAGGTTGGGCAGGAGACTGGGAAGGAACACTGCCAGAACGGCTGACCTGACCTAAAGATCAATCCATGCTCTATCATGTCATGTTCAGCAATAAAAACTGATAAAGAGAAAGTAGAGGAGGCGAAAGGAAGGAGTAAGGAGTAGCTTCAAATGTGTCACTAACTGCAGCTGTTAAATGTCTTTCCCTTTGCTATACAGTTTGATCAGAGTGCACTTAAAGAAGCTACCTAAAACATTGGATGGCTGAAAATATTATGACACAAATCCTAGCCCTATAAATGTTGTGGTTCAAGACAAGTATTTGTAAAAACCTGGTTGTGCATGGCTATCACCAGGTGGTACAGTGGAAAAATTGCAATGAAAGGTTCTGCTCCAGTGACATAGATTGGTAAATTAATTGTACAAGCTATTCCACAAAACTATTTTTCATTCATAAGAATTCTATCATGAGGCTGAATTAATTTTTTATTTAATTTTTGCATTTAGCTTGTAGGAATGGAAAGTCATCATCTTGTGATCACAAGATTACATCATGTTAGATAACAGTGTGGTTATCTCTAAGGTAAAAAAGTAAAAGAAATGTCTAAATTAAAAATATACTTAATTTCCAAAGGTATATTTATTCTGTATTTTAGTAACAGGTTGTATGTAAAAAGATAAAGGTCAGCTGCTATTTGGTTATGATTTCTCACTAACATCCAAGAAACAGTGAAAAATTTTCTGTTGGTTTGAGTAACCTGACCTTATAAAAGCCACATGAAGTTGAATACCTTATTTTTTTAAATTAATTCTCATCTAAACAAACCTTCCTTCACAAATGAATTCACTTTTTTCTAGCATTTTAAATCCACTCTGGTTTACATCAGATGAGTGTTTGATGAAAAACATATTTTTCAACAGCACTTTCACATAAAGAGATAGCAGATCTTTTATCACTGAAGGTAATAACAAAATGTAACAATAAAATACTAAGTCCTTTTCCCTGCCATTATTAGCATATACATTTCTATGATTGATTGAAAGTATATTGTAGATTAAATACTAATCTATATTAATTGAAGTTATCACTTGAATACGCCAACTTACCTATAAATATTTGGTCTTTTACCTGTCTTGTTCATCTGAACAGTTTGCTACCCTCATTTTCATTATTCTGATCATATACTGATGTGCAGAAGCATCTTTGATATTAAGGCTCAGGATCAATTACTATTTTAGGCATTTAACTTATATATGGGTGTTCCTAAATTACAAGTTAGATAGCCATTACAACCCTGCAAACAAATATATGAATCAATTCAACTAAAACAACTGCTAAAGATTCAACTAAAATATTTAAAAAGTATTGCTTTGTGATTACTCATAGCCTGAACTATAAAACAAGAAGCCAGGAATCCTGATATACTCACTGATCCCCAAGGCCCTACTTGCCAAGATGCACATTCATGAAGTTCACACGGTGTTACTGACTCTGGTCTGTCATTTGGATTACAGAAATCATCTCTCAGTTGGTCATCATTAAGCTGGCACCAGACTTGACGATGTTTCATTCCTTTGCCACACGTCACAGGACACTGTGAAATTATTATAAACATCACTTTGCAGAGACATGAATCTGCATTAATGGCTTCAATTTCTTTTAGTAACTTGTTGGATTTTAAAAACCACATAAATAACAAAAATATTCCATGAATGTAAGCAGTCTAAAAAAACCTATTTTTAATGAACTTTTCATTTCCTCTTAAGTTCAACTCAAATGCTAATACAAAGAAATTATTATTAAGATTCTAAAGCTAGTAATTATGAAAACTATGTGCAGATCATTTATTTCCAATACAATAATAGTGCATATATCACCACTTTCACTGGAAAAATGTTCAAAGTGTCCACAATTCCTTTATATCCATCTAACTTAAATAAAATTAATATAATTCTATTAAACAGCTGTATAGTTTTCATTGCTTCATAAAAAAGGAAGGTGTGCAAATTACTGCAAATACATTTATTTTACATGTCTTCACTGCCTCATTTTAATGTAACAAAATTAAGGAGAAAAATAAATGCTAGGAGTACTTTACAGAAGTTCTCATGCCATTTGTAGATGTGTGACATGTATCAGACAAATCAGAGGACTTCAGAACTTTCAAAACCATGTGGATCAAAATAAAATAAAAACCCTAAACACTTAATGGAGCTTATTTTAATATCGATGACCAGGGCCACATGTACTTTAAGTTTTACACAGTTTCATTACCTCACTCCAGTCAGTAACTGACCAGCTTGGACATAAGAATTCATTGCAACTCTGTGTTACAACTCTTGTAAGTTCCTGGCATTCTCTGTCAGGAAGATGACGACCCAAGTTGTTCATACAAAAAGCTTCTCTGGTTCTGACACCTCTTGCACAGCTTCTGGAACACTGTGGTGTATAGTTGTGAAACAGGAAGCAGAATACAATAAAACCAGGTCAAAATACATTATCAATCTTACAGGTAAAAGATGTTAATGATTGTGCCAGGAAAAAAGTATCTTCCATTTAATCCACAGAATGGTAATATGTTCATTTGAGATAAATTCAGCATTTGTATAATAGTTCCAAGATAAAACTCTAATGAAGAACAAAACCAAAATTGTACAGAACTAAATTATTAAGACTGTAAATAAAATATACACCTTTAATTACCAGATCTTTGCTGCTGACATCCAAAACCAAGCTGTAAACAAGCTACCCATTCTTATAAAAATATAAGGAAGTTGCTGAAATATAAAGGTTGGTATTAGCTGATTCACGTATGAAACACATATCTGTGTTTGTCAAGCATTGTTTCCTTTTAGTTATTAAACAAAAAAATATAGAGGAATAAAAATTTGTATGAATGCTAACCAGAACTATAATGGTACAGTTACAAAGTTTTAAATCTGTACCTCTGACCATTCTGTGTAGTGCCAACTTCTTAACATACAGTCACCATGGCAAGGCTCTCTGGCTGGTGGTTTCTGCTGATCAGCACAGTACTTATCATCCACTGGAACACTGAGTCCTCTTGCAACAGAATACTTCATGCAGTGGATCTCAACAGACCGATATCCTGGGCCACACTTTGATGTACAGTCACTTTTGCCAACACTGTGCCACCTAAAATGACAAACTGTTGTAGAAAGCTAACTACGTTTTAAAAAATATGACCATGGCAATTAAAGTACTGAGAGAATGTCCCAAGAATGATAATGTAAATATAGATATGCATTTTAGGGAACAAATAAAACTGTAGACTCTATCTCATGACTGGATTTTCCAAACAATATAAAAGATTTTGAAAGAGCTTTTCAAATTTAAAGGATCTTTTGTCTTAATCTCCTAGGTGACTTTGAAAAATGTAAGCTATAATTCTAATTCTTCATCCTCTGAATATTTCAGTGTGGGCTATCTTAGAGTGCAAAAACACAAGTCTGTTTCAAATTAGTTCCAGTTGTGGGTACAATTCTGGTGGAAAATGTATTTCATGCAGCAATACAAGTTATTGTGCCAGAATATATAGAACAGATTCACAATTTTGGAAAGAGATTTTGTATTTTACCAATAAACATTAGAAAAGTACCCTAGTTCTACGTGGAGTTGAAGGAGTTGAAGGTATCATGCATAAAGCCATTACACCAACAGATTTGAGGAAAACAAGGAGAGGTGGAAAGGATGAGGAAGGCAGAGAGGGATGGAGGGACAGAGGATAAAGCAATTTGATTTACCCTGTTTCAATGTCAATCAATAAAACCATATAAGACTACAATAACTCCATCAGTTAGGAACCCTTTTTACCTTAATTCACACTCTGTATTACACTCCTCAAAGACACTTGGTACAGTGGGTAAAAGCTCACATCTTTGATCAGACACTACCACGTGATCACTTTTACGTATACATGTCATTCTTCTCCTTCGAATACCTTGAAAAAGCATCAAAAGAAGTTTAAAAAGGGCTAAAATAAGTCTGCCTTATGGATTCCGTTCATCATTTAGGAACTGAGATTTCCCATTAACACAGATTGCTGTACACAGCAGATTCTGCACAAACATGCTCCTTTGGGTACATTCCAGGTGGAGAACAACCTTTCCCAGACACCTTTTCCACCTCCCAGCTGTCCTACAGAGGTACAACAGGATATCAACTTCCAGGGAAACTACAGAAGTGCAAGAGTCCATTTACTCATCAGGCTAAGTACTCCAAAAGCATCATGTGTGCCCTGCTAATTAACAAATACCCTAAACCACCATGTCAACTTAGACACTGCGATCCTTTCCCTTAAAGAAGCAGAAAATTTGATCACAGGATTTGGAGTTCTGGGAGAAATACCACAATTAACAGCTGTTCTGCTTCTCCAGCACATTAGCATGTATACAGCCTGACTCAAAACCAGAAGAAACTCACCATCACGTATTTTTAGGCTTTTCTAGCACCCACTAATAGGAGTATTTGTCAAAAATCTCTGCACATACATTTTTCACAAATGCTGTGGCTTTATTTTTATACTGGAATGGCCTAGAGACATACAGTTTGAAATAGTCAAATATATCTTCAAACAGCTTTGTCCCATGTAGCAGATAATCCATACAAGACAAATAAATGAGTATGAAAGACACCAGACAAATCAGTGATCACCTGGAAATGCTATAATGAAAGCCTAATGAATATTGATAGACATACAATAGCACTTGATAAGAATGTATTGGATTTGCTTCAACCTTTTTTTTTAATAAACTGCTCCTGTCTCCAAATTCTACTGCATAAGTACTAAAAATAGCAAAAACAAAAATCAGAAGCTATTCTGTCCTTAAAGGTTCTGTGAACTTCAAGTTTACTGAGGGTAACAAGTTTCTTTCTTACAAGTAATGGTGATAAGTCAGAGAACTTGAGTCCCTTCCTAAATCCCATAAGGCCTTTTGGTTCTGGTAAAAAAAATAATTCACAATACCTTGGCATATCCTGCTGCAGTCTTGCCAGGGTCCATAAGGATCCCATGTAAACAGATCTTTTCCATCTTCTATTGGGATATTGAATGAATAATGCACATCAGGGTTGTATAAATTCCCTACACACAAAACCTTGATTGAGATAAAATGATAGCTGTTTTTTAGTGAATTTGAACATAAAATTATGAGCATAATGATCATGTAGGAAATTTTCAAACTTATCAAAAAAGTAATCATGCACCTGTAGGATTAGTTCTTCTTCAACTCTGTCAGTGCTGTTAATTCGTTCTATTGTATTGTTTGAACCACTGTACTCAAAAATGGATCCTTGTATATTGATTTCTCTTTTTGACATGCTTACGACAAAATTTCCATTCAAGATAAAATTTCCATGGGTATCCGATAAAGCTGTAAGTGAAATAAAATATTGGAAATCTATTTACTTAAAGAGTTCTATCAAAAACATCTCACCAACACACAGCTTTATTTTAGTCAATGTAAAAACTTTATCAGTTAAAATTAATGAATTCAATCCTAATCATCAGTAGCTTCCACTAACCAGTGGTCATGGATTTTCTAAGCCATGGATTTTCTCTGGATTATAGTAATTAAATAATATTTGTTCTGCTGACGAGCTGATTGCAGTCCTGACTTTTAAATTTGGCCAGGTTCTGCTACTGCAGAAGGAAACAACAATTATTGGCATTTCTGCCCAATTCTATGGCCCACACCCTTGTATTTGCTATAGCTACTTCTAGTGAAGTTGGTTTTAAAAGTAAACTTGAAAACAAAAATAAATTATTAAGCATTTGTGATAGTAATTTAATACAATTATCTATTTGCAATAATAAAGATTAATGTCAAGTTAAACAGTTTTAAAATAAGGTAAAATTTGTAGTACAAGATGCTATTAAGGCATTACTACATTTGAAATGGAAGCTGATGTCAGGGGGTGAGGTTTATTTCTGAGCAACAGGTGACAAGGAAAACATTTCGAGAATTCTGAAGTTTGTTGGCTAGGATGACAACAGAAGAAGAGACAGGAGGTAAATATGCTTTAATATTTTTTCAGGCACTTCAGATACAATGTACCTACTGTGAAATAGAACAACCAAGATTTTTGGTAGGATGTACTCATGAATTCTTTGTTGCCTACACATACTTGCAAATCTATCAACATGTGACAACCTTTATATTCTTTATGTACCAGACATAATAGAAGAAGACAAATATGAGACAACTGGTAAGTTTGCTGATGGTCAGACTGCTTTGTTCACAAACGAAGTGTATGCTTCCAAGATTTAAAACAACAAATACCTGTATTATTCCTGAGTTCACTTGTGGTGTTGCAATTAACATTGTGACAACAAAGTAAAAAATTGACAAAGTGATGCAAGGTGTTAATAATTATTCTCTGGTGAATGAACACACTCATCTAAGAACTAGAAATCTTAACAATATCTCACTAATTTAGATGTAAGTTTTCTGAAAACTAGTATCTACAGAGAGACTCAGGCCAATGAATACTAAAAAATAATTAGATATTTTCTCCAACATCATTATCAGATTTCTCATAATATACATCCAGAGCAGATCTCTGTCAAATGTTGCACACAGGAGGCTTTTACCAAGGTAGTTGTCATCTTCTGGTTTCCCTGAGTAGCTGTGCTGTCGAATATCAATGCTTGTTGCTCCTTTGGGAATATTTACTACAACATTGTAACCTGAAAATTAATTATATAAAAAAATAGTCAAGTAAATATGAAAAAAACATTTTCATTTGCAAAACCCCACAGTGCACCAGAGACAACCAACACTGAATGCTTTCACATGTTAGGAAGTGTTAGGTTCTGTGTTCAGATATGAGAATTCAATTTTTTACCACTAACAGGAGCTCAATCTACTCATAAAAATCCCTAGAGAGCAGAACTACTCTAGAAAGCAGTCAAGTATATCAAGAGGGACTCAGGAAACACTGTGACTGCTCAAAATTTAAACTTCTATAAAAATCTGGGTAAGCCACTTAACATGAAATATCTCCATGCGATTGAGGTAGCTTTTCTCTCACAAGAGCATTTCAAGACAGCACACTAAAGAATGAGTCTTAAATACTAAAACACTGCCATGTTGCAGTCTATCCATATGCATAGGTAGATACAGCTGTTAAACTAGCCATGCTTGATCCACCTTCTTCTGCTTAAAATATTGAGTGCACTCCCTTCAAAATATAAATGTTTCACAAATGAGTCACCATTTCTTGTAGTATCTCCAAGTAATATTATGGTAGCCTTGCCACCAGGTAACAAAACAAGGTGCATCAAAATCTACTTTTTAAAAAAGTCGTGCTGTACATAAACCTAAAAAATCCAAACATATTTCTCACAGATGCTAACCATGAATTCAAAAGGATACTTACAGCTGAGAAAAACTGAGTATGGCAAACATTGGAAACAAATAATAAATACAAACATGTAAGCTGAGGTATTAATAAAAAAATTTGATAGCTTTTTCACCTATTTCACTGCTTTTAACAATATTACTGTGGCTTTAGTTGATGCACCTCTGTGGGTAAAAATTTAAATAGCAATATCCTTTTAATTTTGTACTGGGTTTGACTGGGATAGAGTTACTTTTCTTCACAGTAGCCGGTAGGGGTTGTGTTTTGGATTTGTGATGGAAAATGTTGATAATTCAGGGATGTTCTAGTTATGGCTGAGCAGAGCAAGGCCTTTTCTGCCTCTCATCCCACTCCATCAATGAGGAAGTTGGGGGTGCATAAGGAGTTGTGAGGGCATGGAGATGGACCCCAGCTGACCACAGGGATATCCCAGACCATATGGCATCATGCTGGGCACACGAAACTGGGGAAAGAAGGAAGGGGGGGATGTTCAGAGTGATGCCATTTGTCTTCCCAATTCACTGTTATGCATGACAGAGCCCTGCTTTCCTGGCTGGACACCTGCCTGACCATGGGAAGTGGTGAACCAAATTCTTGCTATGCTTTGCGTGCACGGCTTTTGTTTTACCTATTAAACTGTCTTTTATCTGAACCATCTGAGTTTTCTCACTTTTATTCTTCCAGTTCTCTCTCCCATCCCACTGGGAGGTAGCGAGTGAGTGACTGGCTGTGTGGTTCCAGCTGGGGTAAGCAACGAAAATTTCGTATTTCATTAACTTCCAAGTGCTTTTAACCTAATAAAACTATGCATTTAAATTAAGATTTAATCTAATTACTGCTCCATCACATCTACCAGCTGGGGGCAGCACTGCAATTGCAAATTGAGAAGATGCATGCTCTGGATAAATACAGCTTGGTCAATCTCTCAGCCTACTGTGAAGAAAACCAAAACACAGTTCAAAAAGCCCCTCATCTCACACACTGAAGACCTTGTGGCAATAGAATAGAAGAAGACAAAATACGGGAGGAAACTATAAACAAAACTACATAGCATGTTGTCAAGGATACACAAAGAGAATAAATCACATACTAGGACACCGAGAATGACCATTGTCCAGGAAAGCCTCAGATACCCTAATTTGATGCAATAATAATAGCCAACATAGTAATAATGTGTACATAATTAGAGTACCATCTCCTAAAATGGAAGCCAAGTAAATTAGTATTTTGCTGTAATGAATTTTTGATTATTTCTTCACTACTCTTTACACAGCCACTGACAATATCATAACTGCATGAATATAAGCACACACCACAGGCTGCTATATCAGTTCCAAATTTTGCCTCAGTAAAATGGCTCATTTCAGTTTGAAAGGAAACCAAATGAATTTAAAAGAAAAAGATCAAGTGCACATCAGCATACTTAGCTTGTGATCCTAATTCAGATTTTTTTTGGAAAATCGTATTTCCTCAGACAATGCCTTCAGTCATTAGCCTAGAGATGTTTTAGACCTCCCATGGAGACTGGAGTTTAGTGATCATTTTCTTGTTTGCATGGCTGTATTCCTACTTCAGCACACCCTGTGATAATCCCAAATGTTCAGCATACTGTTCATTGGTAAAACTCAATATTATCTCTTATTTGCTAAAATTCAAGAATTTGAACATAATTTGAAACATTCTACAAACTATAAAACCAAATCATAACTCAAATCATAACTCATCATAAAACATGGGGGCTTTTTTCCCTTACAAATTCAATTTGGAGCAAATAAGCCTGTGACAATGGAAAGTCATTAAATAGAAGAGAGTGACAGTCTTGACCATATTTGCAGGGTCACTTGGCTTGTAACAAATGTGTGTGTGACAGAATTCATGTTTTATCTATAAGCAAATTCTTAGGACAGACACAAGAAAAAATACATGTATTTGTATGGGAATGGTAGTATATAATTTTTTTGGTAATTTTGATGGCTATGTGCCTTCTGCCAAGGGAAAAAAAAATCCAACAGGATACTTGGCATACTTTCCTCTTCAGCAGCAATCCCTTTGATCTATGAAGATCTGACTTGGCAGCTCTCCAGGTATCATTTTCACTTCACCTGTGGTCTCTTTCAACCAGAAAGGTGGTTGAAGGTGGCATGAAGAAGCCTCTAGGCTGATATTAACCTGGAGACTTCTGTCCTCATGTTCTGTGCTCTAACTACTTAACTGCACTGCTACACACATACGTAGTCTCTCCATACTTCACAGAAAAGACTACACATAGAAGAACTGTCGATAGGTCTGTTAGAGAATCTAAATCAAATAAATAAAAAATACCAGGGTTATTCAGAACTTTCTCATTCACTACCTGCCAATGAGGAGGAAAAAAAATAGTTACCCCTGCTCTCTGGAAGGAGGAGACTCACATTTCACAGGCTGTATTTTTCACTCTAGGAGAAAAGGAACCTTATCAGCTGCTCACAACACAAACTTCTTGCTATCTCTTTACACCACCAAAATGAGACATTGTAATATGTCCTTCAGCTGCAAAGTTTCAGACCAGAGAATACAAAGTACAAAGCAGGATGCATTCATCCTTTTAAATTACTTCTACTCTCCTAATTTCTTTTATTTTTTGTTTTTACCTCTGAGGAGGTTGATTTTTTTTTTTTACTTGAGTGGGTTAGTATGTCATAGTGTTTGCCTCTGCACCCTTGAGAGAGAATGTGACTGAAAATCAAAGGTACTTTTTGTTGATAGAGGCCCTAAAGAACATACATTGAAATCCTGCTTCCTGAAATGTAAAGAATAATTTCTAAGCCATTAACATTAAAAAAAGACAAAACAAACATACCATAATGAGCACTGTTGAAAGTACCTGCAAGTGTCTTACATGAAGAATTATCACCACCACAGATTCCACATTTGTCTCTCCTTGCCTTCGAATTCAAAACATGATCACAGCCTGCTTGCTACAAGAAATAATAAAAATAAAAAGGCCCTGTGTCACTCAGCCCCATGGCAAATAATGAAAAAATGTAATGTAAGCGTCCCGCTACCCCAAAATGTTGTTATTCACTGCATATATCTAGTCTTCCTTGGCAATTCATTAAAAGCCATCAATAGTTTTGGATTCTGCAAGACAGAGCAAAATAGAATGGTGCACTCCCAATTCACTCCATATATCAAGAACTGCATAAGAATACAAAACAGTACATAAAGATTTTGTATTAAAAACATAATTTATACATTTTAATTTATATTTACATTAAAATTCTTGGAAGTCTAAAAGCAATATATACATATATATGGTCATCAATTCATTTAAAGTTTGCCATTATTGAAAGGAAGCAAAGGAGTACACATAGACTGTCCTGGTTAAACTAATGTAAGCACAGTTTTTGTTTATGTATCTTTACTTAAGCTTCCAGGGGTTTTTGAACTATGATAAACAGGACAATTCTCTTGCATTTCCTCTTTATTTAACCATATAAAAATAATCTATATTTTCTCTTCATTCTGAATTTGCTCAGCTTCACTGCAATCAGCAAAACCTCAACAAGGCCCAACAAAAAAGTTTTGAATGGTTAAAATATAGCACCTTGCTTCTAACAAAATCTTGTGGCAATGCCCTAGCTGCTATTAAGCAAAGAGTGCTGAAATAATTTAAGGGTCAGTTCCTCCTGATATTACAGTAAAGTAATAATTACATAATCTAACTACCCTTGGATTTTCTACTATTTAGTTCTTTGGTAGCAGAAATACAATGCTAATAATCACACAGCATGCTTCTTTCCTCCCTTTATGCTAATTTTGGATCAGTTTCTCGCTGCTCACTTGAAAAATATTAACTCTTTCACATATGAGGCTTAATGAGGCAAGACTGTGAGTCTTCAGATTCAACTATATATTCTTAACTTAATTACTTCCATTTTCAGATCTTTAATTTGATAGATAATAAAATCAGCTTAAGTGAACTCAGAACATCCTATTTTCAGTAATGTTTAATTGTATTAATATTTAATATCTACTTTACCACCTGTTAAAATTGATTTTAATAATTAGTAAGTTTAGATTTAAATACCCTGCATAAGCCTTGAACACAAAGGTCATTGGTTTCTGCTCCACAGGGAGTACCATCAGCAACTCTGTCCTTCAGCTGATAGTAGGAAGTTGTTCCAGAAACTCGGCAAAAAAGTTTACAGCGATCTTTCATAGAAACTGGAAAGAAAATCCAAGAGATTTCTTGTCTGTTTTAAAACTTTATTTAAAGCAACATTTTCATTGTGTTAATTGAAAAGATATGTAGTTACTTACTACCACTGTATTTTGGAAGCCAGCGAACAGCAGAGGTAAGACCATTGATATTAAAGTGTTTGCCATCAAATTCAGAACACTGTTGCTCCCGAAAATCTTTTTTGCCTTTTGGACATGAATCAGTATTACAGGACCGAAATTTCATCCTGCGACCAACACAGTATTTTCCTCCATTTCTTGGCCTAAAATAAAGGTAAATGTAAAACTCATTTTCTAAAACTGCTGTTTTCCACAAAAAGTGGCCTCAGCCTCTGATCTAAAGAGGAAAATCTCCCACAGCATTCTGTCAGCTGTGTAACTGACTTACACACACATTGAGCTTCTACAGTGGATTCAATTATACCCAAAATAAACTCAATCCTTGTAAAATACTGTTGCTGAGGGGTAATCTCGCTACGGATGTTTATTGATGCAATACTATTTTTACTTCTCTCACAGCTGTAACTATTTTGCCTGGGTAAAAGCATTAATAGTTTTAATGCTTTTATCAATTTAGCTGAGATTGCAGTCAAATTTTTACACAAGCAGCACCTCCCTCAGTAATTTGCAATTCTTATTTTACAGTGACAAAGAAAGAAGACCCTTAGGAGCTGGCACAGTCTTTTCTGTAGTCTTAATATTGGCTTCACTTTGGGGATCAAAAGAATAAAAAGGGAAAATTGTGGAATATACACCATTTACTGTAAAGTCTAAAATACATTTTAACAGTTATAAACCCTGACACAATGTAATTCAGTATTAGTATGCTCCTGAGGAAGAAAAAAAGAATAAATCAACAGCATATTGATACTATCAACCACTACAGACTAAATGAGGCATTATCTAATGGCAATCTAGTCTACTGCCTCTTACTCATCAGAGAAAATGAAATAACCTGGGCCATTTTATTGAAGTTCATTTATCCTAATGATAATATCAAGCTGACATGACTTCATAGAAACACCCTGAAACTACTCAGGCACCAGCTGTGGTTCTGCTTCTTGACAAGTTAAGGATAAGGCTGTCCTTAACTTTTATTACAGAAAAATAAGTCCACATGGAGTTATTCAGTCAATGTAATTTTCTAGTTATAAAGGTAAGTTTTAAATGTCTCTATTATAACCAGGGCTCCTTGTGGCTTGTTATTGGTGGCAATACTGTGGAAAAGTCTTAAATCAAAGCAAATAAAGTGTTTCACTAAAGAGATTAGTAGGGAATACACATATCTATTTTTGCAGTTCTTACTGCAAAGAAAGCATCTAATGTTTAAAAGAAACTTCAACAGTTAGACTAAATCTAGAAAAAAAGACTCTGTCAAACTAAGTTTTTAGAAACATCTACAAGAATGGATATTATTGCTGAAAGATATGAGTAATCTAAAAATCCTCTGCATATTGGAGTCTGTAAATTTATCTCTTTCCAAACATGACTGAAACAAGCATTTTTTATTTGTGTGTTTCACACAAATTGTGTGCACAGCCCACAATACCTCTACTTCATTTTGAGCCAATCCAAAAATTTTTAATATCTTCACTATGTAAATGTAAAACACATTGACACATAATAAAAAATGTAAAACACAGTAAAAAAAAACATACTCTGGTCGATTACACAGCCTGGTGGTGCTCTTGATTCCACCTCCACAAGTTCTTGAACACGAGCTATACGGTCCCCATGGTCCCCATTCTCCATCTACAGGACGCAGCTCCATTTCCCTGCTCACACAAATTCCATGGCGGCAGTGCTGCACAGTTGGCAAACAAAATAAAATTAATAATTCAAGCAAAAGATTACTGTGTATTTTAGGCACAAAAAGAACAAAATTTAAGCGATCACTACTCTTATCTGGATTTGGATATTTTCTAAAATGTTTAATTTCCTTTACCCAGTAGTCATGTTTTTAAAAATGCTATCTAGAGTTCTTTGATTGCTAGGAAATCTACTGGATATTGAATATTTTTCTGTCTTCTCACTTTATCCAAATATTTCTAAAAGATCTTGAATTCCTGATACATTTTCATCATAAAGTTCAAAAATAGATTTACAACCGTCTTTTTTGTACAAGATTTTTCAGTTTAATTTTGAATTCGTGCTGTTACAAAAAGTGAAAGTTAAAAGAAACCACCAAGAAAATCAGGGTGTTTTGAACATCTCGAAAGCTAACCAATGGGATTGTTTGGAAAAAGCAGAAAAGCACTTAACACCTTGATTATATAAAGCAAGATGATGCTACAGATTCATTCTTGAACTCAGACTTTCACACATATAACAAAATATGTAAAATATTTTTATTTACATGTTAATTTTTTTTAATTTACTACTAATCTAACAACACTATTACCATTAAAATTGAATTAATAGTTAAATTTAAAAAACTAATAGTAAAGAAATAATAATTCTTAGAGCAAGATACTACATTGCAATGCCTATTCTCTTACTTTAAATCTTGGTGAAGAACTACATATTTCCACTAAAAAATTACATCAAGGACGAATTTTCATTTCATCTGCTGGGACTGACATTATTGAGAAGACAAAGACTGCAAGACTATTTTGTTGTGGTGATGTCACTTATGAGACTTCACCACACTGTAACTGTAAACTTTTATTATTTATAGAAAGTAATTACCTTTTTCCCCCAGAAACATCAATCTCTTGCTTCTAAGTATTTATTATCCCTGTTCCTGACTGCAAATATGTGTCCACTTCAGCAGTTAAAGAAGTACATGGCTAAAAAGTCTAAGTGAGAATCTTATGATTGGTACATGGGTGACTTTTTCCAAAGAACCCACAAGAATTACCAGGACTAATCCTACTGGTGACTTAGAGCAGTTGGAATTCTAATTCACTTGCATCCTTTAGAAAATCCCAAGTAGTATATTTGATCACAACACGGTGGAGTATTAAAATAGAATATTTAGGAGATACTATAATTTCAGCGCTGCTGACTTCTATGTGGAAAAACGTGTCAACTTTGTTCTTGACTTCAAACACCTTCTGAGGCATCAAAGACTGCCCTCATCTGGAGACAAAGACACTGGTCAGGACTGAATACGTGGGGTCAGTGCTCATACATAATAGAGATAATTCTTTATTTTTTATGCCTGTTTGCAGACTCAGGATTAGACTGTCCATTAATTAGGTTTGTTGTCAGGAGGGATTCTACTAGTTGTATTGACAGGGAGTGGCTCATTCCATCTTTCCCTGCAGGAAATATAGTTATGGATCAGTCACTACAGCAGGTTGTATCAACTCAACTGCTTGTTATTTCTGAAGCCTAGGCTTTGCCTCTTTGCAAGACAAAACAGCCTCAAATTACCTTAAACTCTAGAAGGATTTTGATAAATAAAGTCTCTGGCACATAAAACAATTTAAAAACCTCTGATACATAAAAGATTAAATGATAAAACAAGTACTAAACCTCCTTTTTTTTTTTACAATTAATTACATAGAACTTCTTAACTTATTACAAATTTATTATAGAAACTATCAATAAACAACCTTTGCTGAACACACAAAAATTGTATGCAGTCTTTCTGAATATAGCTGACTGGCACAAAACTCAAATCTTGTTCAGTGTTTTTATCACTGCTAAAACAACTCCTAGATACAATTTTTTCCTAATTAGTATATGCTTTAATTATTTTGATACTTAGGTTCACAAGCTATCAACCCTTTCGTTCTCAAAATAGGAATTTATCACAGAATCAGGTTCTCTTTTCAGGTTTCTGCCTGAATTCCTAATCCAACTTGATGATAAAATTGCCTGCCTGCATAATTTCTTGTCACACCAACTCTTGCATATAGGCCGTATCTTTTTAGCTCTGAATTCCTGCCCCTGAGTTTCATCATTCCTGGTGATTTTCAGACCCAAAGCAAACACAGAACAAAAGCTAGACCTTGGCAAACAACTGTGCAAACGATCCAGTGAGTTGGCCAGATCATCACTTAATGCTAAAACTAATGCTTTAACTTAAAAACAAAAAAGCCATCACTATTTCACTGCATATGAATTCTTACTGAGTGCTTACTGTTTGTTTGGTTTTTTTTTTTCAAGATAGCCTTCAGGTACCTTTACATCCAAGCCTTTTAGTGCCTAACATCAAATCCCTAGCAATCAAAGGCAGACTTTCTACATAGTCCATTCATAATGTAAAGGAGGAACGTGAAGAACTTGCCTTTTTATGAACTGTCCTTTGCATCTCAGGAAATAATTTTTTACACTATAGGCTGAAGACTCTAAATCCTCCTTCACAAAATGAATACTGCATTCTAATATAGACAGTGACCTAGCATTTAGGTTCTTCTTCCATCCAGAAAAACATTTACAGTAACTTCAAGGGAGATTTCAAGAAAGGAGTTGTAAAACAAAACTTTATACCCACAGAAGTATAATTTTGATCAATAAAAAGGCAAAGCATATGCTCACATCTGGGATTTTAATAGCTTATTCAACAAACTTGTCTCAGCTATTATTCTGCTGCATTCCTACAGAAGCAACATGATGAAGTCACAGTAGAAAACTCCAGCACCAGACATGTTCCAGATGTTCCTCTGTGTTGGCTTGAATCATTGCTTCACTGAGAATAATATCATATATAGAGCTTTCATAAACTTCAATATAATTGCTAACAATTTTTCTGCATTTTTAATGACAAATATAGCATAGGCATCATGAAAAGTGTGTATCACAAATAATTCCAAACATACAGATTACAGCAAGTGGCAAGGTGGCTCTAGTCAAGATCAACAGTTGGTTTTCTGTCAAGAAACCTAGAAATGCTTCAAATTTGGAATCAATAAATGTATGGGTACCCAAATTTGTTTTCATTAATAATCTCCTTATAATAATCACTTTGAGTCTTTCCTGTGGATTAATCTATGACTTGATAAATAGATTTTGAGAGCTTCCAATTTATTTCTTACTGAACTTGTTAGATTTCCAGGAAAGCAACCTTGAAATAAATTATTAAAGCATTACTTGACAGGCTATGGTCAACTTTGACTGAATTAAGGAGAGTGGTAGATGGATGCAGAACAGGACTAGAGCTCCTCTGAAATCAAGTACTTCCCACACATCCCACCAAGATAAGAAGTGGGACCCTAAGGCACATAAAAAGAGCTACACCAGAGCAGTTAATAAAACAAGCACACACGGCAGAAGAAATGGAGCTTGGAAAGACATCTAACTGAAGCTGTCACCAAATCATCTCAGGTCTTTATCTCTGTGGCATGGATTCTCAGATGAGTCTACATTTATTACTCAAATGACATTATCTACAAAGCCCACACTATTTGAATTTTTTCAATGTTTTCAATATTTTCTTGCAAAAAATCTGCATATTTTATTTCTCCCTTGAAACTTTTAATTTTTCTGAAATTATAGCTTATAGAAAAATACTTCACAGAAATCCCAGTTTACAGAAAAAATTTATGGTTTGACCCCATACTTTACTCTGTTCTTACAGTTCAAAAGATCTGCTGCTGCTTTCCATATGGTGAACATATTCCCCTATCCCCAAGTCTGATAAAATCCATCTGATATTTTTATACTTATTTTACATATATATACACACAAAATGATTTATTCTTTCAGATTCAATATCTTCATGCATTACACTCACAATGTAGCCAAGCTATGCAACAATTCTTAATAGCAATCAATAAATGGGCACAACCTACTAGTGAAGAACAGCAAAATTACTTCAGAATTAGATGGGTATTTCTTCTACTGTTCAAAGCAATTATTTGTTGCTCTGCATGTCCATTCTCAGTTGTCCCTGTATCCCTGTCTTTTATGCCAAAAGGACTAGGATGAAATTTTCATTTACTCAATAGTTATTCTAAATATTTTTAGATGCTAGCTCAATATACATTACATATCTACAGTGAATAGAATTGATTAACATGCCTCTAAAAACCAAAAAGGCACATGCTTTCCAATCCAACTGTTACTTGCATCATGTGAATTTCTTCTTGCTGTTAAAGACATTTTTCCAAACTTCAGTGACAGTTACTTTTTTTCAATGTTTAAACTGCCATTATGTAGAACACTAGGATATCTCCAGGACATGGAAAAGTCTGGGTCAGAATCATATAGTTACCTCCTTCCTCTCCACTCCAATGCTCAAGGAATCAAGAGAATATGGGCATATTTCTGTATTCCACAGGAATCCAGGAAGGATCAGGGTGCCCCAAAAAAATAATAGTAAACCACTGACACTTTATTGGGCATTTTAAACACTTTATTGGGTATTTTTGCTGTTATTTTCATAGCAATAAAGACTTCTTCTGAGAGTGCCTCTTCTGGAAGATAGGTGGTTTCAACAACTTTTCTTCTTTGGAGGTAGTTGTTTTTTGATTCAGATATGCTTCACTAAATCCAACTGTTAGAGCAGTCCATAGACCAAGATCCATTAATACGACACATGACATTTGAAAACTGAGCTTAAAAAGTTGATACTAAAATAAAAAAATGCCTTAAATGGATCTTTTATCTATCCATCCTAATAATGGATATTTGCGACAGCAATAATGTCACAAACGCCAAATATAAATCAATTTAGCTTGCAGGAAAATATTAATTACAATTAGTAGTTACAATGTCTTATGCCCATTAATATTAGCAGCAACTTACTGTCTGAGCTTGAGAAGAGCTGCCCCTTAGTCAGGAACAGAAGACAATTTGTCAGATTAATTAATTGCTGTTCTTTCTTACATCTTTCAGAGGTAATGACTGTAATTAGCTCTTTACTTCCTAGAGAAAAATGGTTCCACTGCACTAATTACATAAAGTAGGGTTTTGTATTCTTATATAAAAGAAATCCTCTGATGTTGGCAAATTAGAGTCAATTTAACTGAAGATTACAAATGAAGTTTACATAAAAGATGAACTTCCTTTCTGATGAGTGACTGACTGAAAAATGGGTTAAACATTGTAACACCAAGAGCATGCATAGGCTATAATCAAGCAAAGCTTCCCCTACAGCCTTCAAGTAACTTTTTCTAATCTTGCAAGACAGAAAAAAGCCATTTGAGACAGTTTACCCATTACATTTGTTATCCATTAAGACACTATTTTCAAATTCCTCGCTAATATTGTTTTACCGAACATAGAATCTTTTAAGATTAAAAGTTATTGGGGGAAACTTAGAAATAATTCAGTGAAATGTAGCAGCCTATTATACACAGAAAATGAAATTAAAATTTCTAATAATTTTTGAGCATCTAAAATTATTTTTTAAAAAAATTATCATTGCTACCACACGCCCTGAAGCTGCCAAAGCACACTACTAAATAAAAGCAGCTGAACATAATAAACCACCCACATTTAAGATAATCACTGTCATACATGATCATCTAAAAAATCTCAGAAATATTTATTCTCACAATACCCTGACAAGTATGAAAACACTTCTGTTTGCTGGTGGTGAAGTGAGATATGAAGAAGCCAAATACTAGACCAGTAAAGAACTTAAGCACCTAATTTCTGTTCACTTCCCAAACTACATACAAATCCAAAAGTAAAAGCCTGAAATCTTCACTGGAAACCGGATACAACCAGGCTCCACCATTATCTGTTTCTATCTGGGTTCTGTAAGTGCCTTGATTATATCTACTAATTTGATATTCATGACCCTTATGGACAGCCCAAGAAAGGCTATATTGTCCAAGTTTACAGATCAGGATCTGCATTCAAAGACTTGCAAATGAGGAAGCAGTGAGTGGCACCTTTATCATCCAAAAACTCTTTACCAAATAAACCAATGAGCAGAAAACAGTTTCCACTTCTTTTTTCTAATCTGTCAAAGCATTCAATCCATACTTCAAGCAGCCGGGCAGTCTTATACATTGGGGTATAAACGAGAAGAGAGCTCCTGTGTTTAGCACTGAACAGACCCAAGTATCCTGAATTATGTTACAATAGGCAAGACAGAAAATGAACACAGGTATGTATGCGTAAGGCACCTGATACGACGCAGATACAAATACCTACTGAGACAGATGCTAATGCAAAGACTCCCTCTTTCCAAAAAAGCATACACCTGTACCTATGTGACTCATACTTAATTTGTTCTGGTTCAATAAACAGCCTCAACAAGACAAACTGGGGGAAACACACTTAAGGGATGTCATATTTCTGATAATTCTACTTTGGACACTACTGATCAGGAAAAGAAACAACTTACTAGGCATAAGCTGGCCAGTTCAAACAGAAGGAAAGATGTCAACTTTCCCCTGACTTCTTTCACCTACTTTTAACCAGTGTGGCATCTGTAAACTTTAATAATTACTCTGAACAGACAAACTGTGGATTTTTATGTCACAAGATTATAGAACTAAGAGAAACTGCAGGTAAAGTCAGGTAGACAATTTTCATACAATCAGTATTCTATAGGCATATTGTCACACAGTGAGCACTGATCTTTCTTACCTACATCCAAAATTGCAAGTACTGAGAAACAAAACAAGGCTTACCATTCCTACACCACAAACTGTTCCATCAGCCAAAGGCATGTGCTGAGTACGACAACCCTTGTGAACACCTTCTGTGCTAGTGCACCATAAGCGCTTGCATTGTTTCTAAAAAGAAAACCAGATTACTTTTGTTGCACCTGCAATACCATTTTAGACATTAGTTGCAATTATTTTTATTTTCTCACACTGTGCAGGCTTATTGTTTGCTATTGTACTACCATTTTTCACAGATCAAACCCCACAAAACCAAAATAGATTTTTCTTAAGGCCAAGCAGGAATGTGGAATATCTGAAATTGATCCCATTAGATTAATAGATTACTTCATTTTCTACTTCAGTAGAAAATTTTATTTTAAAATATGTAAGAGGTTACAGTTACTATTACACACCACAATTTCCATATAATCCCCCAGAAAAAGGCTCTAAGTGAATTTAACAGGAATTAAATGTACTGACTAGAAAATTAAGCAGAAAGCCTCATTTACAACTTGCTAAATTTGTAGGAAGTGCTGAAATAAATCCCTTTAAGTTGTTGCAGAAAACCTTAGTTTATGCAGCTTTAGATACTTTAAAGGAATAATCACATTCACAGATAAGGAAATCAAAATGAATGCAACCTACTTTTTATTGCTATAGACATCTCACATGTGAAATTGCAGTGCTGTTTACTGAACTTTTCCACTTCAAAACAATATAACATGGCATTTTACTTATTTCAGGATAAAATTACTCCCAAACCAGTTTATTATTATAGATATTTTATTATAGATTAAGCATGACTTTGTCTGGTTTACACTCACCAGGTAAGGGCATACTTGTGACCCCATACCAAACGTAAGCTCACACTGCTTGTTGACATCATATACTGACCCAGGTAGCTGAGAGGAAAGATCATATGTTCCTCCACTAGGTTTGTCTAGGAGGCATTCACCATAACCAGTACTGTTGTAAAACGGGAACAAAATGTGAATAAAACACTCAATTCATTGGGAACCTTCTCACTACTCACAGAATACTTACACATGCATATCTCAGTGGAGTTACGGGTTTGCATGCCTACTTGCCTATGTAATGACTTTACTGAATTAATGAATAATGAAATGCACCAGGTCACTTGATTTTCCTTCTTTGTATTTTGCATTTAGATCCATCAAACAAAATTAAGTGGGGGGTTTTCTCACTTTTTTAAAAAAGGAAAAAAACTGGTACTACCTAAATTATACCCATCTCTTATTTTAACATAAAAACTTCAGAAAATAAAGGGTGTCCATTCTAACCTACTAAAATAATCCTAAAGGTATCAATAAACAATACCACTATATTAAAAAAAACAAAAAAACTTCTAAGCTTTGCATGTTCAGTGCAACTTTAATGAAGTCATAATTCACCAAAAAAGTTAAACACGTGTATTTATCTGGAGGACTGAGGCCCTGCAAGCCAGTGGTTAAACCAAAGAACAATACAAAAACTATATTTAAGCAATACCTTTAAAATACTTCTCAGAAATAAATTCAATTGGTAAGGGAAAAAAAAAACAAACCAAAAAACCCCCACTCCAAACCATAGCATTATATTGACACTCACTCAAGAAATTCAGTGATATATTTTTGACTGCATTTTGACCAGGTCCATGGACTTGTATGATAATTTAAAGTTGGAGCCATCACATGATATTGATGTTTAATTCCAGCTTCTTTACATTTGAAACTGTCATCATGAGGCACATTAAACCTAAAAAGCAAAACAGATAAACTCCAAAACAAATTCAGCAATAATTAACTGAAACTCTCTTTGCTGTAAATACAATAAATTTTGCTGTAAATGCAGAAAATGCTTGAGTTTTGACTTTGAAAATGCCTTAAAGTTTAATGGGACTCAATACATCTATCTGACCTTTTGGCAATAGATATCTTTAAAATGCCTTACATAATTATCCCCTTATCCAAATACTCCTAGTTATATAGTGGTGGGTACAGGACCAGTTTTACAATTAATGTAATTTTATAGCTTACCAGAAGAATTCCAATGTTTTAGGAGTGTGCCACTTTAAAGGAACAACCAATCTCCTCAACTGAATAGTCTGGCCATGGCTGGTCTGTCCACAACATGCAACCCCAATACTCACATCATAACTCTTACTATACAGTAACAAAAACTGCAGAGCACATCAATATCATACTTAATGCAACTAACACACCATCTTATTTTACTGCCTCAGTTCAAGTACCAAGACAAATAGCATGTGTCTAAGTGGACTTTCAGGCACATGAAAATGAACAAGCTAGCTACTGAGCTCTGTAACCTACAGAACGTTACCTACACTGTGGCATGCTCATGGAGCTAGAGTATAGCACCTTTCTGCCATCACTGATGAGGTATGCTTCATAAAATAAAATGCTGTCATCTCCTCTTATTTTTCAGTGTAAAGTATTTCTCTGTGTTACTCTACTGTATTCTGAAAGGATCAAACACAAGGAAGAATATTTCTGTGTTATATTAGCAATTGTCTTTTCTTAAAGGTAAATTCCTAACAGGGCTAGAACACACTTAGACTTAAGAGGACTGTGTTGCACTACCTAGGGTATGTCCCAGTGTCCCAATCAGTTCATATGACAAAAGGACAGAATTCATCTCTTTGGACAGTTTTTTCTAAAATTCAGGATAACAACCAAGTAATAAAATTCAGAATTTCTTTACCTAGCTTACTGCAAGGGACAAAAATAATGACTCTTCTAAAAGGACATATCAGACTGCATCCTATTAGAAATGCAAAGCCCACTGCTGAAAATTGGTCATATTTAAAAGGAAATTAAAAAAAACCAAAAACATTACCTGCCAGGAAATAGGTACTTACACATGTCCAAGCTCATGTGCTATAGTAAAAGCAGCACTCAATCCATTTTCTTCACTTACAGAACAACTGCGCAGTGGGTCGCACATTGTACCTAGCTCTGCTAAACCTGCAAAATCGAATCCTTATATAAAAGCTTAAGAGAATGAATTTTCCTTCATGTATTACAATGAGTGCTATGGCACTCAAGTCGAAAGTTGTGCCTCAAGTATGCAGCAAATTTACACAAAAAGAACAACCACCTGGCACCAAAGTACATGCCAAGAACAGCAATAAGCAATGTGAAACCATTAATTTTGTCTGTGTGCCTTGAATTTTCTATCTATTTTCAGACTTACTGTTAACAGATTTTTCTCCTCACACTGATATTCTCATATATAAAATCATATTGATGAAAAGAGTAACTCACCAAGAGTATCACACTTCTCTCTAGCTCTGCAGATATCTTCCCTTGAAAGAAAATATTTATTTCAAATCATTACAGCATATAAAAGAATATTTTTAAAGTATTTCACTGTTGCTGTACTAGTTGCAGCAACTGCAAATCTGATTCAATTCAATTTTTAATGCTACAGGCTATTCAAACAATTTGTATTCTAGTGAAAGAAGTAATTTAAATTCACCAGACTAAGCCCACAGTACTGCTTTTTATCTAGCAAGCAAAGAATAAAAATTTATTTCTCTACAATGCAGAAGGTACATCAAGCATGAAATGATGCTGACAAACATGCAGATTGCAGTATACTTGAAACTTGGAACACTGGGGAAAAAAATAGTTAAAAAGAAGAGTGAAAAAGAGACTATTATAAAGAATGAACATCAGAACCCTCAGTGAGGTGATTGGTGTACAGGAAGAAAACATAGTAATATTTACATGCTTTCCATTTTAAGCTTTTGATAGCTCTGATTGCATCAGGGCTGCCAGGAGCTGTCTGTCACTGCATCCTTCAGTTTACTCTATTATGTACAATACTCCTCCCTTATCATATGTATGTACTATAGCTAAAGATTGAATTTCCTTGCTACACTTTCAGGTCTAACTAATTTCTATCATCTTTAATGGAAGGATCATTAGATGCTTATCTATCAACATAGCAATGTCAGAGTAATTGCTCACATATTGATATTCAGTGTTTTGGAAGGCCAAGACAGTGTTATTCACTTATCTATGAACAATGTCAGTGGAATGGTTGAAAGATTATATTGTAAAACCAAAACTGAAGCATTTGTCTCACCTATCTGAGTAACTGTGGCTATTTTAGATACTGTACCTGGTGATGAGAACAGCAGTATCATGATGAGAAGGGTGAGTATCATCCAAAGTGTTTTGTGTTTGCTGCCATAAGCAAAAATTACGAAGAGTGGTAGCTGCATTAAAAGTGATAGCTGGTCCTTCCTAAGCAAGAAATGGCCAAAAACATCAAATAAGGGCTTTAATATCCATGCACTTGCACTCACTGCATTGTCATTTGTGCTGCTAATCCGCAAAGGAATGACTTGCACATGGAAAGAAAGCAGGACTGTACATAAGAATTCCCTCAGCAAATCTGTTTGAAGGGTCAGAGATCTGAATTTAGCTACAAGTCATCAGTCATAAGAACCCATTATTCTAAACAATGTATGTGAATACTTACCATGTGTTAAATATTAGAAAAATATAGTGACATTTATGATAAATAAATATTAAATCCATGAAATTGAAAAAGGAAGTACTTATTACAATCTTAAAATATTACAGTTGTTAGGGGTGAAAGCCTTCCATAGAAACCCTCTATAAAAACTGCCATTTTCCTGCCATGTTTCCATAAGCATAACCACACTTCAGGTAGTTCTGCCATAAGCTTTCATATACTATCTGATTTATGCCAGTATAGGAAACTGGATATGCTAATAGAGACACAGGAAAACAGAGGCATTAAACACAGGCCCTGAAGTTAACCTTGCATTTGACATATTGTTTCCTAACTTAAAACAAAATTACACAGTTTAAGAAAATATTTTATATTTAAACTAAAAAAATTAAACTTTATAATTACATTGCAAATTCATGCATTTTGTTTCTTATATAAGAATGATATCTTCTAAATATTTCTTTTTCTTACCTGTTCATTGTGAATTACAATTAATTTGACAATAACTATATTTATAAGATTTCCAATAGTTGAATCTTTATAGATTGCTGCAACCTAAAGAGAAAAAAAGATTAAACTCACTTGGTAAACTATCTCTTTTAATGAAACAAACAAATTACCAAAGGAAACCAAGCCACTACACAAGAGGTATCTCATGCATCCAACTGTCCCTTCTACCCAAGGACATAGTGACAAAAAAAAAAAGGTTTTCTCAGTTTTTAATACATGAACAGCTTCAATTCTATATTCATTTCCAAACAGATAGACACTATGTTGAAATGCTAATGTAAAAAGTACACTTGTTAAACAGTTTATTTATAAAATATCAAAGAAAGGAAAAAAGTAATGTTATTGTGACTGTGAAGCATAAGCTGCTTTATATACATGATTTGCAGAATCAATATCTGAGATACTAGAGTTTTAAAAAACAACTTTGAACAAATAAGTTTTTACCTTGCTTTTAATGGAAGCTGGACTGAGCTGTAAAACTGTATTGAAAAGACACATGACACATACAAAGGCATCTTTTCGCATTCATAAAATTTGTATTTGTATACCCAATGGGCATTTTTATACATACTCTTGCAGACAGATAGTAAAAATCATGAGTCAATTCCATACACTAAAGTGAACTACTTTGAAAGTTATTTTTCATAAAAGCAGTAAAAAAGTTTATACATTCCAAGTAACAGCTTCAGATATCTCATCCTTGTGAATTCTGGTTTAAAGCAGCAGTCAAATGACAGCCTTATGTAAACAAGAATTGTCACCAAACACAGATATACTGCCTCTCCTCCCTTCAAGCTTGTGCTAAGGCTGCAAAAATGATTAAGGAACTGATCCAGTTGAAAAATTATTTTTTTAAATCACGTTATACTGGTCAATATGCTCTCATTTCTGGTGCAGGCTCCAACACAAGTGCTGATAGACAGAGAGGGGAAGAAGAACAGACCTATTTCAGAAGTCTTTTGAGCCACTTGAACTGGCTCTAATTGCTTGTGAAACCACAGCCTTGCAGCATAAAAATTCTATTTATCTGAGGTCAAGTAATACTGCTAAAACTTAGAACTGATAGAGCACTGGCTCCTGGCTCATGCCCCACCTTTCTCTAAACTGGAGAGAACACAATATGCAGCACTGTCCTTCATTCCTTTCTTGACAAACAAGCTGGAAGTAGAGGATTCAATAAGAGTAGAGGAGGAGCCAGAGCTTCAGAAGTCATGTGGAGAACACACTTCAGAGCAGTACAGCTATTGTTTGCTTCTTTCCATATGGACTTCTTTCTTGGTTACTAACCAGCCAAGTATTCAATTATTCTTAGGTGAGAATGAGGAACATCTCTCAAATACTCGTTGAAGTGCTGAATCCACTGGGCATGGACAAACTCAGAAGCCTTTACAAAAACTATCTGAAATGCTCAAGGACAATTTAGGCAGAACTTGAGTGGAATAAACTACCATTTTTCTAATATCAAAATTATCACAATCAGCTCATAATTTGTTCTTATACTTTGAGACTCACTTCAATAAACTTAGAAAGGATATTGCTGGATATCTATCCTCCTCATAGTCAAAGTATATTCCTATAGGAACTGCTGTCTCACAATAATACAATTATCACATCCATCTCAACTCATGGAACTAATAGGGAGCAAATTCCATCAATGGTTAATTAAGAAGGAGAAGGGATGAACTGTTCTGTAGACATGACTATCTAGAGATATGTATTTAAACATATATTTTCATACAAGACAGGAAGAGCAGCTATTTCACTTATTCATCCCTTTACTATGGAAGAAGATAAGATGTCTAATTTTCAGATGTATGAGGCTAAGGCAGATTAATTCCAGCCCACCTCTTTCAAGTTATATTTCTCTTTAGCAAAAAGAAAAAAGAATATGGGTTCATACAGCATTCCAAAATTATATCAGAGAAGAATCTGAAATGAGATCTGTGAGGATCTTTGACTTATTCCAAGGATTGGAAGATGCTTGTTACAAGGATTGATTCTAATACAATTTAAGCTGATACAAGAGGAACTTACAACTGAGAATTTGTTACAGCATAAAGCTACACGAGATGATTACATATGTATAGCATTAACACAGACTTCTTTCACTGGACATGGTTGTTGCAGTTGGCCTTGTGGACCTTCATGAGATTCACCCCAGCCCACTCAAGCCTCTCAAGGTCACTCTGGATGGCATTCCTTCCCTCAAGCAACTCAACTGAATCACTGCACTTGGTGCCATCTGAAAACCTGATGAAAGTGCACACAATGACACTGCCAGTGTCACTGATGAAGATATTAAAAAGTGTTGGTTCCAGTATGGACCCTTGAGGGACACCACTCATTACCGGTTTCTGTTTGGATGTTGAGCCATTGATGATAACTCTTTGGAATGGCCATCCAGTAAATTCCTTATCCATCTAACAGTCCATGCATCATATCCATATCTTTCCAATTACTGGCCAGACTGTAGTGGGGGGCTGTATCAAAGGCTTTACAGATGACCAGGCAGAGCTTCTTCCTTTCCCTGATGCAGTTACTCCACCACAGAATGCCACTAGATTAGTAAGAAACATCTTAATTAACCTGTAAATCAGTCTAGTTAATGTCTGGTTTTGGAACAGAAAGCTCTGAAACTCAGGAACCAGATGCATTTCACTGGCTGTCAAGAAATGAGCATGCAAGTTATCTGAGGTAGTGACACAATCAACAAAAAACAATACATGAGTTGTCCAGTAGTCTAAGGCTATATATATATCAGGTAGAATAGGCAAAGGGATTTTCCCTGAATGGGAGAGGTAACTAAGTTCAGCTAACATCAAATAATGCCAGAGTGCCTAAACAGTGACTTTCAACCTTCAGTGCAAAATTAGCCTTAAGTTTCCCAAATGCCTCCTCTGCTATAGTAGAGGTAATTTCTGCTCCTGGATGATTAGAATGATCAAGGCAAGAATTTGAGGCTGGAACCTTCCTGTAACTAAAATTTAGCAGTTCTTGTTCATGGTTGTAGTAGTACTTACACTGTAGTTGATGGATATATACATTAATATACATTAATAGTTCCTTGAAAAAATTATTTTACTGCTGTGCAAGTGCTTTCTGTCAAGGTTATCCTGCTAACAAAATCTGGAAACAAAGACAAGGCAAAGAAACCAACACAAAACAGAGTCAAGAGTCCTCCTTCCTGCCTGTTGGCCCAATGTAGATTTAAAATATTTGAGCAAAATATCTTCAAAACACAAAACCAGTTACTCATACCTTAGAGCAGATGCATTAGACTAAGTATACTTGAGAAAAAATATTTCATTGCATGCCTGAAGAGAATCTGTTGCAGGACTTTCAACAGTGTATCTATGCATCGTATGAACACGAACTTGTTATCTCTCTGGAGAATAGCTGAGGATTGATGTAATGTCAGGTAGATGCCAGAGGTCAGCAGCTCCTGCCAAAATCTTAAACATACCTGTTTCCATTATAAGAGAAAGTAAGTTCATGCTAAATGTAAAATAACCCTGCTCTCATTAACCCTATGTTTCAGTCAAACTATGGATCCTTTGCCTCATGAGCACTTTCATGACCTCTAAACATTTAGTTATACCACTGCTTTCAAAAGATCAAGGAGCAAGACTGTATGCTGATAACAAGATGCCCTTACCAGCAAAGTTCAGTATACATTCTCAGCATGGTTGAACACATGTGAAGAGAAAAATCCTAAAAACTGATAACTACAAATCAAACTTGAAGACTTACTTAAGGAACTAGTCAAACTAAAATAATCCACTGAGACTTGAAATGATATAATGATGCAGGGAACTATCAGAGATCCGGAATATAAGATTCTTATTTTTAGTGAAAAAAATTACGAGGTAAGTACTCCCTGCTCCTCTATTCTAAGGATACCCCTCTCAACCTCTCTTACTGGAAGCATTCATGAAAAAGGATGATGAAAAGGGATAGGAATTTAATAGAATGCACCATTTCTTTACAATTTCCAGATCTACTTGCTTTACAGTGATCTAAATACAGGCTTCAGAGAAGTAGGAGGTAATAGCCAAGAAAAAGTGAATTTAGTTTCAAGAGATTTTTCAAACTCTTAAAACCAGCCTCCACACCAAAGAATGGGGAAAAAATACATATAGATGAAATATATATATATAAAAAATATATAGATGAAACTAATTACACTTTAGTGGAAGGATCACAACTTTGGTTTTCCTGAAATTTTGAAATACTAAGTCAGACAGCCATGGCTGCCAGTTGACTGGCAACAACTTGGTTACAAAGTTTAGTTTCTCTAGACAACTCTGTTGCAACTGTCCAGGAAAGCATGACTGTGAATAGGGGCAAAATCCCCTATTTAGAAAAGGTGCTCATAAACAATCAAGTACACTTAGAGGCTGGAAGATAAAGAAATGATAAATCAAAATACAATTGGATAGATCTTGTTCAGCTCTTTTTTTGCTTCCTTTTTTCCCCCCTAAACATTGTATCACAAGACCTCTTTTTCTTTCCTCTTGTTACACGCAACCATGGTACCAAGAAAATACAAATATTCACATCCCCTGAAAGAAACACTTTCAGGGTATCACTTCATAGCTTGTATGTCTTTTGCAGGCTCCAAAATCTCTTGTATCATTGTAGTGCTGAAAGCATGTAAGATACCCAGAATCTGGGAGATTTCTCCTTCACCTTTTCCAGTGTCATACTGATTCCTTCATATATTTCATAAGACTCAAAAATTGTCTGAAGTCATGAGATATATGAGCAGTTATGGCTTCAGTGAAAGAGCTGTGTTATTTCTGTTGGGTCTACTCCTATTCTGTTGCATGCATATTTCTGTTAAAAAACCAGTGGATCCTAATGGCAGCAAAGGCTTTTCATGCAAATTTGCACAAGTATACCTATGCCTCAGACTTACCATTTTTTTCCCCTAAGTTTTAGGTCATCCACTGCCCCCTCACCCAACACCTGTTCAATCTAGTATACCCTGAGTTAACCAAGTAGAAGTTCCACCTACTGGAGTGCTTTAGTGGAGGCATAAGGAA